GGCTGCTCCAGCCTGGCCCTGGGCACTGCCAGGGATCCAGGGGCAGCCCCAGCTGCTCTGGGAACCTGTGCCAGGGCTGCCCACCCTGCCAGGAACAACTCCTTCCCAATAGCTAACCTAAATTTATGTAATCTAACTAATTTTATAAATAATATTGTATTATTTAATTTAACTACATTTTATAAAATCATGTAAATTTGAATAACACAATTAGTTATTTAACTCATTCCAAGATAAATTTCCACAAAACCTGGCCCTGCTAAAAGCAGGCAGAGCTGGGTCAGAGCTGCAGGAAATGGATTCCACCAAATCCACAAGAACTGATGGAGCTGCTCCGAGCCCCCAGAGGCTCCAGCAGTGCTGAGCTGGAGCAGTTACAGAATAAAGCAGGGATTTATTCAAAGGGTCTCCTCAGTGGATCCTCCTTGGGCAGCACAAGAGCCAGGGCTGCACCCAAGGTGAACCAAAATGGTCCCAAAATGAGCCCCAAAATGGTCCCAAAATGAGCCCAAGGTGAACCAAAATGGTCCCAAAATGAGCCCCAAAATGGTCACAAAATGAGCCCCAAAATGGTCACAAAATGAGCCCAAGGTGAACCAAAATGGTCCCAAAATGAGCCCCAAAATGGTCCCAAAATGAGCCCCAAAATGGCCACAAAATGAGCCCAAGGTGAACCAAAATGGTCCCAAAATGAGCCTCAAAATGGTCACAAAATGAGCCCAAGATGAACCAAAATGCTGAATATTGAATGTTGCTGAGTATTGAATATTGCTGAATAGTGAACACTGCTGTGCATTGAATACTGAACATTGAATATAGATGATTATTTCTAAATATTGAACATTGCTAATATTGAATATTGCTGAATATTGAGCACTGCTGAATATTGAACATTACTGAATATTGAGCACTGCTGAATATTGAATATTGCTGAATACTGAATATTGCTGAACACTGAACATTGCTGAATATTGAACATTGCTGAATAATGAGCACTGCTGAATATTGAATATTGCTGAATATTGAACACTGCTGAATATTGAACATTACTGAATATTGAGCACTGCTGAATATTGAGCACTGCTGAATATTGAATATTGCTGGACTATTGAGCACTGCTGAATATTGAATATTGCTGGACTATTGAGCACTGCTGAATATTGAATATTGCTGACTATTGAGCACTGCCTGTTGGAGGTGGGAGCTGGCTCTGGAGGCACCTGCTGGGGCTTCCACCGAGCTCTGCTGCTGCTCTGCAGGGACAGGAAGCCCTGGGAGGCAGCTGAGGCTGAGCTGATAAGTCAGAAAAACAGACAAAACAGCAGCAGAGCTAAAAATAGGATTTTGCTGTGTGAACAGAGGGTTCTGCCCTGCTGACCCCGGCGAGGGCTGGGATGAAGGAGGGACTCGGGGCAAGAGGAGCTCCCGGGGATTTTCCCACTCCCAGTGAAATCTGCAGGTGGATGAATCGTGCTGGGATTGCAGGGGAGCAGGGCCAGCACCCACAGGGGCAGCCTGGGCTTGTGGGGTCACCTCAAACCCCACGGGGAACGTGGGACCCCTCAGGATGTGTCCTTGGCTCCTCCAGGAAATCCCTCGGGAAGGAGAGCCCAGGGAACGAGGGAATGGCAGCAGCCAGAGCACTGAATGAAACTCCCCACAGGTAATGGAATTTATATTTATTTAACAGTAACATACAGTATATAAATAGGGTAAATACTTTAAAATATACAATATTTCACATTCCAACATTCGGTCAAAGGAAGGCAACTCTACGAGTGCAGCTAGAACTGGAACCAGAAGAACGATGCACAGAGAAAGAACAGGCCAGGCTGCAGAGCTGGGGCTGCAGGGGCTGCACAGGACTGCAGAGCTGGGGCTGCAGGGGCTGCACAGGACTGCAGGGGCTGCACAGGACTGCAGGAGCTGCACAGAACTGCAGGGGGTGCACAGAACTGCAGGAGCTGCACAGGACTGCAGGAGCTGCACAGGACTGCAGGAGCTGCACAGGACTGCAGGGGCTGCACAGGACTGCAGGGGGTGCACAGGACTGCAGGGGGTGCACAGGACTGCAGCCAGGCAGGGAAAAGCAGAATTCCCACCCAGGTGTCCACGGACCTGGCCCAAACCCGTGTCCAAACCCAAGCAGCCCCAAAAACACCTGGGGGTGCCCAGTGTCCCCTCCCCATGGCACTGCCACCTCCCTGGCTGGTGGCCGGGACACTGGTGGCTCCCATGCCAGCCTGGGACCTTGCCACGGGGTCCTGTCCCCTCGTCCCACCCCGCACACAAACCCCAGCTGGCACCAGCTCCCCTCTGCCCTGAACCTTTTTCCATGCCAGGCTGAGCTCCAGCCCTGCAGCTGCAGAACTGCCCCGTCCCTGGGGTCCCTCTGTGCCCTCCACACCCAAATTCCTGCAGCTGCTGCATCCCCAGGGCCCTGCAGGGCTGCTGCACATCCCTGGGCACCAGCTCCACCCCAGAACCAGCCAAAGCAGCCAGGAGCAGCAGCTTCCCATCCTTCCCAAACCTTCCCAAACCCTCCCATCCTTCCCAAACCTTCCCATCCTTCCCAAACCCTCCCATCCTTCCCAAACCCCACCCCTGGCAGTGCCAGACCAGACCTGCAGGAGATTCCCTGCCCATGGCAAAGGAGTGGGACAGGATTTTAGCCCCCCTCCATCCCAACCCCAGCTCACTCCCCTCCTCCCTGCATCCACTGCTCCCACCCTTTTGTGGCTTTTAAGGGATTTTTTCATGCAGGAAACCCTTCCCAGGCAGCTCTGCCCCTGAGGAGCTGCCTGGGTTTGGAGGCAGGAACAAAGCTGGTCAGGGAATGTCTGATCAGGGAATTTCTGGTCAGGGAATTGTCTGATCAAGGAATGTCTGATCAGGGTATTTTCTCATCAGGGTATTTCTGCTCAGGCCATCTCTCATGACAGAATTAATTTCCAATCAGACCATTTCTCACCACAGAACTAATTCCTGTTCAGACCATTTCTCACCACAGAACCAGTTCCAGTTCAGGCCATTCTGAGCCACCCACAGGCAGAGCTCTGCTCTCTCCCAGCTGCTCCGTGGAGCTGCTTTGCCCTCCAGTGCCCACAGCCAGCACTGACAGCCCAGCCCTGCCCCAAAGCTGCAGCACAGCTCTGCCCTGCTGGGCACAGCAGCAACAAAAGGGTTAAAGCACACCAGCAGGACACTAAAGACCCACCAGGGATTTCTCACTGGGGACAGAGCACAGCTTTGGGGTATTTATCAGCACTGTCACTCCTGCCTGTGAGCAGCAGCTGCCAGAAGGGATCCTGGCAAGGGCAGGGAGAATCCAGAGAGCCCAGCTGGCCCAGGCCCCTGGCACTGCCAGGGAAGGTGCCATGGGAGCATCTCTGTTCTCCTCTGCACTTCTGTCTCAGGGCTTGCTCCAGAATTGCTCCATCGACAGAGAATGAACCTGACTCAGCTGGAAGGGAGCAGCCCCAGGAGAAATGCAGGAGCAGGAGGAATGTGCATGGACACCAGGGCAGTCCCGAGCTGCCCGTGCAGCCACTGAGAACTCTCTGCAAGAGCAGAGCCTGCTCTGCAGCCCGTGCCCTCCTCCAAACACCCGAATTTGGGCACAAAGCTCCTGCCCAGGGAGGCAGAGCAGAGCCAGCACTGCAGGAGAGGCTGGGCCTGTGCTGTGTGTTCACACACACCAAGGGTAAAAGAAACCAGAATGTGGGGTGAGAGCTCTGGATTTGGGGCGTTTTCAGGTGGTTTATTCTCTGTGGATGCCAAGCCAGCTCGCAGCAGGGGCAGGGCTCACATGTGGCTAAAGGTTTGTGGCAGCAGCTGCTTGAAAACTCCAATGCAACTTCTGCAGGAGCTCTCCCTGTCACTCATTCCCCAGATTAAAACAAGGGAAAGTTTCTCTCTCCCATGCACAAACTATGGAAAGAAGGAAAATCAGAGTCACCTCGTGTTTGGGAACATTGCACGAGGTGTAAATGGGGATGTTTTCACTATGTGGTCACAAAAAGAAAAAAGCAAAGTTTTACAATCTTTAGGGCTCTCGTTTTTAAATAATAAAAAAGTATGACAAAATAAAGTACTTCAATGAAGCCTGCAGCTATAAAGTACAAACTACTTCTGACAAGATTCAGTGAGCAAAGCAGGACAGAAGCCTGCAGAGAAATGAACCCGGACTGAAATGCAACACAGACCTTGGTAAACTCAGCAGCACGACTTCTACAACTCAAGTAACAGACAGACATGATCCCTGAAAGAAAACAAACCCAGCTGCAGCTGGAGCCCACCCAGCAAGGAAACTGGCTGGAGATGCTGCCCAGGCTCCTGCAAACATCCCACTCTGGGGTTTCCCAGCTTGGGGAAAGGAAGAAGTGTGATTTCTAAAGGTGATTTAACGGGGGGAACAAACCAGGGTGTTTGGAAGTTGTTCTCACCTGGCAGGAATTGCTCAGTGGAACTCCCAAAAACTCATTCACTTCCCTGGGTTTTGGAGGAATCTGAACCTCCCACATCCCCCCACAGAGCTGCCCTTCCTCAGCTCCCCGTGCCCAGTTTCTGCTTCAGCTGGCTACAGAAATGGGATTTGCATCAGCGCAGCAGGGAGGGAATGTGAGAGGCACGGCAGGAGGGGCTGCAGGGGGAAATGGGGCTGGGCTGGCACAGATCCTCCTCCTGTGCCAGGCAGGCCCTGCTGGGACAGCTCCCACTGCCCCCAGCTGTCCCCTCAGCAGCAGGGCCAGAACATCCCACCAGGAACCAGAATATTCCAAAAGTGCCAGAACATCCCAGCAGGAACCAGGAACATTCCAGCAGGAACCAGGAACATTCCAGCAGCACGGCCACCCCCTCCTGCCCCACCCAGCCCTCCCCAGCCTCGACTCCTTCTCAGCCACAAACCCCAGATTTGCTCGTTTGAACCAAAGCTCTATAAATATATTATTTAGAAAAAAAAAAAAAATTAAAATAAAATAAACCACGAATGCGAACATTTACCAAGGAAGGAAGAAGAGTTACAGTGAAGTGAGGCCCTGCTCTGGAAGCAGGCAGGGCAGGGAGGCAGTGTCAGTCCTGTGCAGCCTACGCCTCCTCGGGGCTGCCCAGCGCTCCCCGCTCGGCCAGGTGAGCTCTCAGCGTGTTGAAGATGTGCAGCTGCTGCTCCGGCCGCAGCGCCAGGAACTGCTGCAGCAGCTTGCTGGGGTTGGGGCCCCTGCAACACAGAGCCAGGTCAGCAGGGGCTGAGGGGATGCCACAACGTCCCCTGCTGTGCTGTGCTTCCCCAGGGCAATTCCAGAACATCCCTGCTGTGCTGTGCTTCCCCAGGGCAATTCCAGAACATCCCTGCTCTGCTGTGCTTCCCCAGGGTAATTCCAGAACATCCCTGCTCTGCTGTGCTTCCCCAGGGCAATTCCAGAACATCCCCTGTTCTCCCTTCCCCAGGGCAATTCCA